AATGGAACTAAACATTTCTTATGTTCATCCAAAGCTCAGTTTCTCAGTGGGAACATGACCGATTGATCTCCACAGATATTTCATCATCATCATCATCCATTGCTTGAAACCGCCATGACTCCAGAAGGTTGATGACCGTGATCTCGTCCTAAAAGTTGGCCAAGTGCCAAACATCGATAAATCCAATCCTGAACAACTCCCCTCAGCCGTGACCTTTTGGAACTCATTTGTCTCTCATTTCGCCCTGAACTGTGCTCCTCCTTCTCTTCCTGGCCACCTTTTGCTTCAGGCAATTGCTGATCATCTATAGATTTCCCATTACAAGCAGAATACAGAGATCGATCCCCCTCTAGGTACCAGTTGGAGAGCGATACAGTACAAAGAAACACCCCCTATCCTACAAACGCAGCTACCTGTCATGTGAAAGCAATGTGTGGAATAACAGCTTTATGTACGTGGGAGAGTGTGCATTTGACGTTATGAAGCTATATCATAAAAACCTTATCCCCGCAGGCAGAGTTCAATAACAAATAACCAAATAAAAGAGAAAATAAAACCCTCAAAGGTGGAAGAAATGATCTTCTCGAGTGCATCTGTGCCCGTTTCACTGTTTAATTTGACCGTGCGAAATTAAAACAGATTCTCCTTGGGCTAGTGGAGAGACGGAATGGGAGGAAAGGAAACTAGACAGACTGAAAGAGGAGGAAGAACGAAAATAGAAATGAAGCAGGAGAGAAACAGGAAAACAAGAAGGAATCGTCTCCACCTAGAGCTCTCTCTCCCTTCCTCAGCAGCTCCTGGTATATCACTAGGTAGCATCCTGGGGCTCAGTGATGGCAGATTGCATTAGAGATATGGGCCTGATATTTCATCTAGCCTTTATTACATTTAGTTCACATCAATCGGCTGGCAGCCTGGAGGTAAGAGCTATTTGGCACATGGCCGGACTCCCCCTGAAATGAAATCCTGTATTAAAGTGCCACCTCAGACACGAAGCGCCTGCACGAGGCTGCCGATTTGATTGCTGCAGTAAAGCGGCGGTCTTTGGCCGCGTGCGAATGCTGACTGCCTATACCTACCGGACGGTGGAGAAATCACCAGCTGGCAGGGGATTCAGAGCACATGCATGGGCTGAGCAAGCAGGTTTTTCTTGCTTGTTATGAGAGCCTAAAGTGCCCTGGGAGGGGCTATGATGGCTGATGAGCACTTTTATACTACATCTTTAGGCATGCCTATGTGTTTTTAAGGAAGCAAAACATATTGCCGCTTGGAATGGCATTCCCTCTCCATTTCTGAACCCCTAAAAAAAACGTACTTTCAGTTGTCAACTAATCAGCAACTAGAGTCTGTAAAAATTCAGCTGTTCTTTGAAGGCAAGGCTGAATTTGTAGGCTTTTAATCATGCACAACACAAATCCGGGCTTTAAGCAGAGAAAACAACATCTCAGAGAAAGAAGTACTGCTTAAAGCTACCTAAAGCAGCATGGTAGAGTTTGTGGCTTACCCACAACTAGCCAAGTATGGTGAAAGACTCATGAATCGAATACTAATTGTAATACCCTCACGATGACACAAGGAGGTGGCAGCATCATGCTGTGGGAATGCTGTTAAGCTGGGACAGTCTTGGAAGCAAGTTGAAGGTCCACCTTCTTGCAGAACAACATAAAAGTAAATTAATATGTTACAATGCCCTGGTTAATAAAAAAGCATAATTAAAGTCAGTTATTTTGTAAATAAATATAAGGAAAGATGCTAAAGGAGGTTTGCAGCTATTATGGATGACATAAAATTGCATGCTGGACTATTAGGTGTTAATTTCAAAATGTTTTTTCCCCTGTTTTTGGCTGTAGGTTTGCGGTCAACGTAACACAAATACTTTTGCAAGGATCTATATTCAAACTTTATGACTTTTCCATCATCATCAGCATTCCTCTCCTCAGGTGGCCCACTGGCTGTCCTCATGGAGGACCGTGAAAACATGCAAAAAGCCTGCTCTCTGGTCGCCCGCTCACACCGTCATGCCTAATCGTACAGGCAGTAAAAAGGGAAAGGAACCTGCAAAGGAGCTACAAGGCTCATATCAAGCCTTGCAGAAAGCATTACACAGAATGAAGAGAACAGAAATATCTCTGTGGTTATTTTAATGCCTGGAAGGAGTAACGCATCTTCTTTTTAACTGCAGTAGAGCAGAGCTAGAGGTCACGCGTAGATAAATGTTGTTGTGATTCAATGTTTTTCTAAGGGGAATTTCTCATGGTAGTAGATGCATGCAGAAAAACAGGGAGCAGAGCTGCTAATCTTGCGAACCAACATGCTGGCAGTGTTGCTCACTTGAAAATCCCCACCCACCTATGCATAGTAACTCATCCTCAGTGCAGTCGCGCAGGAAGCAGGGCGTCTGAGTGGGAGTGTGTGTTAGAGGGCAGGCAGAGGCCTCCAACCCTCCAGGCGAGTGTTGAAAAAGGAAAAAAACGATCCCAATAAAACTGTCTGTGGAGAGGAAAGAGGCTCCTCTCCGCCTCGCACCACTTCAGGCTGTGAGAAACTCCTTATCTGCTGGAAGTCTGTTGAGTTTGCGCCAATTGCGCTGCAACGCTGGTGTTAACATATTGGCAAAAGAGATAATTACATCCCATTTCTGCCTTCTGATGGGAGCCGACAGAAACATCTTAGAACACAAAGCGCCAGCATCAAAACAAGACTTTCAGTTCAGTGCTCCAATGTGATACAGCCGAATGAAAAGAGCTGACAATCATTAAGCATGCCCCTTTTACTGATGGAGCGACTGACGTGCTTGTGGCAGTAAAAGTGTTCTCCCGGCCATCTTTGTCAGAGAACAATGCCACAGCAGCCATCAGGGATTATTGGATGCTAAATTTCAAGGGAAGCAAATAATCAGGAAGCCTGTGTTCATTGTGCAGAATGAATCCAAACAAAAACTGGGTGTGATGGGAAATATTCTCCTGGTTGTTTAAAATGGGATCAGGAGGAGGAGACAGTGATTTCCTTCGAGGTCAAAGACAATGCAAAGCCATATGTTTTTGATTATTCACATCTCAGATACAGGAGACTGACCAGCTTGGCTTTATCCAGATAAACAGCTGGGTTTCATTTACTTTTCTCTAATTTTTTTTCCTGTTTATTCTTCTTCTCTGGTCACACTATACACCATGACTCTTCTCTTTGATCCCGTTGTGGTTTTCTTCCCTCCAACTGCCCTGCATGCCCAAATTCAGCTGCATAGATTTCAAAAGCCTACTGGTATTTGATTATCAGATGGAGAGAGGGGGCGTCTAGTGTTTATAGTCTCGAAAATATCAAAAAGTCTTCAAAGTTTCCCCATTTTGCTCCCCCGAATGTAAGTACATTTAACAGATATTGACCAAAATGCCCCAAAGAGATATTTGACTGCTTTATTCCTCTTCTCAGCTAGAATGAGAGACATTTTCATTTTCTAAAATACTTTTTTCTTCTGTAACTTCTATGCCCTTTAATAAAGAATTGTATCTGCTGATTTGTTAGGAGAGTTCTTTAAGAACCCCAAAATGGGCTAAATGATGAGGAGGGTCTAAAGAGGTTTTGATGACCCTGGATTTTACACATAATTTGTGAAAAAATTAAAACAAAAATGCAAAATGCATCACATAATCACTGCATGCTAAAGGGATTCGTTCAGCATACCACACGTTGTCATGTGAAAACCTGACATTAGCTAAAAAACTCATAAGGCCTTGCTTAGGTAGCCATTCTTTAATCCATTTACTGCTTGTAGCTGTAGCTCAAATTTTTAAGAATGTAATAATTCACATGATTAGTATATATGTTTAATTTCCAGAAATTTTCCAATCACACCAATCTCTCTGTAGTAATAGGTGGGGGAAGGGCAGCATTATCCAACTCTCCAAATAACCAGAGAAACTTGTATTGCTTTAGCATAATCTCTAGTCCTAGTACTAAAATAATCTAAATTTTTTTTATGTCTTTTATAACTTTTTTACTAACTGGACTCAATTAATCAGAATTTTATACTGTAATTGAGTTTAGTTTTATGCTTTTATTTTCTTGAATCGGAATTTTACAAGTGAACATCCTGATAACTGGAAAGTTTATTAGTAAAACATCACAAATATAAAAGGATTAAATTCAATAAACAAAGGATTGTGTTTGGAATCAAGCTTTCAATAAAGCAATTTTAAGAGCAAGTAACTTACTTAGAAGTCCAAGTTTAATAAGTGTGTCTCTTTCAGCATGACTTCTGTATTTCATTGTTTCTGCAGGGGAATGGTCTCTTTTAGAACTGGTTGTCACAAAGCTGCCATTCTGCTCTCTAGTCTTCATGTTCTTATTTTTTTTTTTCTAAGAGACTGTCTGTCGGACTTGAGGAAATTGGCTTTAAAAGGTTCGATTGAACCGGAGTCCGCCTTTAAGTGCTGATGTTTTCATAGAGAGGCGATAATATAGCAACTGATATTGCTGCATGTTTCGTGCAATGTGTGCAGGTTTAAGGTGTCAATCATTTAGATTTTAACAGAAACTATGTTAAAAACTAGACCCTGCCGTACTTTTTTATACATCTAAACATTTAAAGTCTGCACTCTGCAAAAACAGTAAAAAATATAGTATTTAAAATAAGATGAATTGCCAATTGAATGAGCATTTTTACCTTTAAAATAAGATAATTAGATATTATGCACAAGAAATAAGAGACTGCAGTTGTTTTTTCTTATTTTAATGTAAATTGCCTTGTTCCAGTATCTCACTTACCTCCTCAATTCCAGAAAAAATGCACTTTTTTTAAGGAAAAAATTACTTACTTAGATTCATATTTTTTGCAGTGCATTTAAGGAGTATTTTAGATCAGCTTCCAACATAAATTGCTTTTTAGTAAAAGGAGCTTTTAAAGGAAATGTCTTGAGATACATGTGATTCTGACCACTTGCAGAGGAGAAATCCAACTTTAGGAAAAGGGACTTTAGAGCGAAGATATCTCCTGATCTTACTTGCAGTCGAGCCTCTCGATCTCAAAGTGAGGGTTGAAGTTGAGGACGATGCGCTGTGAAGGCTCGGGCGCTTGGATGACCCAGTGGCAGTTCTGATGAGGGGGGTACTCCGTAGGGTAACCAGGGGAGGTGATGTAACCGGGCTTACTGGCATCCAGGATACCTCCACATTCTGAATCTGTAGGAGCGAGGGAGCACAAACAGATGCTGGTGAGTCAACATAAAGGTTAACCTTCCATCTTCACTGTGCGATACAAACAGAACAAAAACAATTTAGGCCTTCCATTTTGAAGAAATAAAAAAAAACTATATTGTGGACTTTCAATGCACTATTAAAACAATAAAACATTATGCATTTGTTGAATATCCAGACACCCACAGACACAAGTGAGGAAACACAGCCTTTCCACGCCCAGCCTCTTATCTCCATCCTTCTCCTCAGGGAGCGTTCCTCCAAGTGTAATTGTTGCTCCAGCGAGCCAATCTGCAAACATTAGGACACATTCCCCGATCCTATCGCTCTCTCCCAGGAACAATAGCCTGCCAATAGCGTCGCTCGGACGGCTCGATGAGGAAGTGGCACACTAACGGGCCGTCTAGCGGGGTCACCCCATTCTGTAACCAGAAGCTAACGCTGCAACAAAGACCCCACTATGCTCACACCCTGACAGCCATAGCAGCTTTCACTCTTGGCTTTATCTCCCACAAACATAAACCCACACACACGACAAAGGCAACATGTATAACCAGCATTCTGCACTTCCAAAAGGACGCTTTGCTTCTGTGCATGGTGGATGCTTTATTGCATTTATTATAGCTGGGAACATCTTCTCCATGACAACAGTAGGAGCTGGTTTTATTGTAGCTAACGGTGTATATGGCTGCACGCTCCAGTGGGAACTGTAAATCTAATGAACTTTATATTGAACTCAAACACCGCCACATTATTATACAGATGCTGTTCAGTGGTTTGATAAGGAAGGAAAACAAGAAATCAGACAAAATTAATCTGGCACCAAAAAGTAGCTAATGTTTAAAGTGAGGGTTAAGGTGTAAGGCTACATCTCAACCAGACTTTTAATACATAAGAGAGCCAACAGATGGCTGATTCATTCATTCATTCTTCTATACTGATCTCCATTTATCCCCTCACACATATATTCCACTTTTCATTTTTTTTCTACAATCTCAAAGCCACCCATCATCCTCTCTTTCTTCCTGACCTGCCTTTATGATCCCATTTCATGCCACTTATCCCCCCATATTCCTCTCCTAATGACCCCTATCTACCATAAGACTCTCCCTGATAAAGCTCAAGCTTTCTATACATGTTTTCCCCTCATTTTCTCCTCCCTTTGAAATGAAGGCAAATTGTTGCAGTCCTGGCTCTTGAACTAATTGTCAAACACTGTAGTTGCTTTAAAAATGCGGCCGCCTACCTCTAGATTTAACCACTCAGCCTCTGAATCCACTCTGCTCTTGACATAAATAGGTTGAATTACTTTATTTTCTTTTTTTCTGCCTGTTTCTTTAAGATTTCTGTGAACAGTTGGGAAAAAGAAAAAGGAAAAAAGAAAAATACAAGGCACCAAAGGCTTGAAGTGTAATAGACCCTTCAAGTGTTGACATTTTCACTGCCTATTGTGCTTAAAAGGCACACTTAAGATTCGCTGACATTTGACAGAGCCGCTATGGCTTCCTTACTTTGTTACCGGAGAGGAGTGACGCCCATGCTGGCGCATCAGCCCCTTGCAGCTGCCGGTGATTTCATGCGAGTGTGTGACTCGGGCTACCCACAGAAGTGGGAGCACACTGCGAGATGATCGGCTCCAAATGCACGCTGAATCACACACCCAGCTGCTGCTGCTGCTGCGCGTTCAAATGCACACCCACGACTGATGGCACCTTTGAGGGCATGTCAATCACCTGGACCAGGTGAAAATCAGCAAGCAGAAAATGTTCAGAAAGATAGTGGGAATGGAAAGAGAATGACCGAGACAGGCAGGAAGCCTCACATGTGCACACAGACATGGCTTTATCTGCTGTGACTGTGCAGACAGACGGTCATTGTTGAGAAGCCTATGGAGGGAACGGTGTGCAGAAGGCTATCGGCGCACAGAGCCTCAGCAGATTAAGCCCTTCGGGGAGAAATCCTGCAGCCTCAACACTTTTTTTTTTTTTTGTGTCTGAGCTGCCCATTGAACGGCCTCCAAGGAAGGTGGGGAGAAAGATGGAGAGTGGAGAGAAAGGGATTACAGTGGAGAGAAGAGAGAGAGAGGGGATGAAAGGGAGGAAGAGGGAGATGAGTAAGGAGAGACGGATAAAAGACGGATTGAGGCAGAAAAAGGGAGACGGGGATTGATCGGAGAGGGGAGGAGGGTTGATTTATGATGGGGGAGAGCATAGGAGAGGATGGGTGAGTGACAGATGTGGAGAGGAAAAGGTGATGAGGAAGGAGAAATTCAGAGGGTAAGGTGGGTGCAGAGAACCTGACGAGCCTCATTAAGACATGCCTGCGCTGTGGCGGCTCCCTGTAGACACTGACCCCTCTGTGAAACCTCTGTCAGTCGGCTCACACACACACTAACTATGAAACTGCCACAATATACACTATATTGACAAAACCTGTTCCAATCACCTTGTATAAAATCCACCAAGGTTTGCAGACGGCTTCTACAAACATTGCTTAAGGAACAGGTCGTTCCTCTGTGTTCAGTGGGTTCCAGCAGGGTACCAACTGTGCTGCAAGTCCAAACATTACATTTCATCAGAGCTCATTATTCTGCGCTCACATTTTTACTAAACAGAGGCGACTCCGCCACACGGGACTGGTCAGAGAGGAGGATGAGCCCGTGCTAAGCTGGATGACAAGCAAATAGCTGCAGCCTTACAGACTGCATACAGCTGCATCCAAGCCATGCAAAAGCTTTGGATGCACTGGTGTAAAGCAGCACTACTGGAGTACAAAGCAGTGTAGTTTTTGATTAAATAATCTTCCTGTTTGCAAACCAAAGAACCAGTTAAGGGTTGAAAATTATTTGGAGAACCGCTCTTGTCTTGGCAAGGCATTCTGGACGGTTTTAAGCACCTAGCTTTGAGGAAACTTTTTGGAGACCTGACCAACATCAGAGTCTGACCGCACATATTCAAGTAAGAGAGAATAGTCAGAGATTCATCATTAAGACACTTATAAACTCCTAACCCTGTCATAGCAGAATAAACCCTCACTAAGAATAGTATCCGACTGGTTTTGGCATCATAATGCATCTTTAGCTAGCGGTCAAGCAACGATAAATATCAATAGATGAGTGCTTGCTCTTTTAATTTCTTGTTCATCTTTTACACTAAGTAAGCATAAAGAGGCACTCTGGTAACACGCGTGCGTTTGAGTGTTTTGGTGGGAACGACTTGTGGCCAAGCACTCAGAAGCTGTCAGCGAGCCTCATGAATTACACTGTCTCCTCTTGTAGAGAAGTCCATCTGTCTCCGTGTGCGCACACGTGCTGCATATGTCCCTTCCATGCAGCCACCAAAACCCTATCGCTCCAGAGCAGTGACGTTTACTGTCCTCATCTGAATGAAAGTAAAATCTAACAGGATGGCTAACTTGTTTATGCTTCTAAAGCGGCTGTCCAAACTAATTTCTTACAGATAAGTTAACTCAGTCTTTTCATGTGTGCACATTTGAGGCGCTCCCAATCCACTTGGACAGGATGATTTCTTTATCTCCGTTATCGGAGAAATGTGCATATGTCTGCATGTCTTCACTCATGTCCTGCTGTGTCTGTGTGCGTGAACATTCATGCTCTTATTCCTATTAGCCCCCCCTTATCAGGGAAGCATGGCTTCACACTCCGGGATAAGCTGCGAGAGAGAGGAGCAGGGCTGATAAAGTCCTTCATCATTGCCGCCGTCTCGTGCCCGTACCCTCCCAAGCCCACCACCACCTTAATTAAAATGTGCTATCACCATGAGAGAGGGAAGAAGAGGGCCGAGTGGGCAGCGCTCATCCATTCAGTCAGGAGTAAAAGTCTGGATTTAATCTCACTTAATTCAGACTGGACCAAAAGCAGAGGATCTTTATGGATCCCTTAAACTGTTGCCTTAACAAAATATTAAAGGAGGATGAATGGGATATGAAAGATTGCATCCGGCTTTTAAACCAGATGTGCTGACTTTCAGTGATAAGTCAAGGTTCCAGAGGCTGGAGGAAGAGTGAAGAATGAGCAATTTATACTAATACATGTTTCCATATATTATGTGTTGTTTTTTTTTTGCAGAGCCACTATGAAAGAAGCCTACCCTAAATGAATAAGTTCACTATAAACACTTAGTTTTCTTGCATCTGATGCGTTTTCTGCAACACAAGCAACGCGATAGTAGTCGTCACATGTACGACTTTGCACCAAAGTCAGTAAAAGTAAAGGGATGTAACATTTATGATTTTGGTAAACAGCGCTAAATAAGTTTAAAGGAAGATCTTAAACAACAAGAGCCTCATCAACGGCAGATAAAACCCCCAAATCCTCTTTCCTCCTCCCTCTCTAACGGGATAAGTGCCCCATGCTAATCAGCTAAATGCACAGAGCTGGCCATCCTGATCAATGCTTCAATGGATCAATTGAGGAAAACAGATGGCTGCTGGTTTCTGCAGGAAGAGGTAGTGCGGGGGGGCTCTGATCCAGAGGTCTACCTTGTCTTCTTGTCCTTCTATGCAATCTGTGAGTCAAAATTGCACGGATAAGGCACTTTGCACAAAAAGCTTTCCTTCCCATCTGGGTGGGGGGGGGGAATAAAATGCAGAGCTGACACAAGCGAAGGAAAGCTGTGAAGAATCAGGTAATACGCTGTGGTGAGTTTCAGTTAATTTGTTGGCCCTCCACCTTACAAAGTGCGAGCTTTCAGGGGAACTGACTGCTGAAAAAACGAAAAACTGCACTTCTCAGTAAAGCTGTTTTTCTAAATTCTAAACTCAGCTGCTCCTGCTTTAAACCCCTTGTGTTTAAATCAGCTCAAAATCCATTCAAAAACAATTTGGCTTTCGACAAAGCTGACCCCCTACAGCTTCTTTTCTAAGCCGGTCCCAGGGCTCCAGTTAAGACCCCCCCAATGCGGTTAATGCGACAAACAGAAAGAGCAAGCTTTGTTTTATTTATCAGGGTCTTGTTTTTAATTTCACCCCGAGCTTGGCGACACGTTTCCAGGAGCTTTGTGAGCCGACCGTGACACCCATACCTGACTGGTATCGAACCAAGCGCTACATTTGTCTTCAGCTATGAATGCTAATGGGTGACCTTGTTTTTTGCAGCTGACGCCGAGGCCGAGCAGATCAAAATGCAAAGGCTGAATGAAAAAAGGGCAAAGAGAGGAAGATGAGCATCAAACTAATCAGGATGACAGGAAATTAAATAAAACAGATATGATTACACATATAATGCAACATTCACATATCTGACACCTCAATCTTTTTAATAAGCTGGATAATTTTGTTAAAAATATTAAACTATCTATATCTTGCACCCTCTGGAAGAGGATCTAAGTTGGGCAAGTTTAACACGCAGTCTCCAATAAAACAAAAAGATAAAGATAACCTAAGTAAATACAAAAAGCATTATGCAAACAGAAAGCTTTTCTTCTTTTTCTTTTACCCTCTTAAATAATAGCATTCATCCCCAT